GTTAATGTCTAACACCCCCTCACCAACTACACACACTCACAGAGGTCATGTAAACAAACATATACAGACACTATACAGATGATGTCTGGGGATACACCAACACCTAAACCTCTTTCTCTTGCACATACAGTACATTCACACAGCGATCAGGACAAAGTAGGACAGCACAGAAAAGTGAGTGAGATATGCAGAATGAGACCAGAGCTGAGGTTGCTGGTTCAAGGTCAGAGTCAGATGTGATACATTTACAGTGATACAATTTCACTCTGTGCCTTGAATTAACCTAACACCAAACCAAACCAACACAAGGTGTTAATAACTGCTTATTGGATGTTAAGAGTGACAGTACACGTGGACACAAACTTAAGAGTAGCTGAAAACCTCTTCTGATTTTCCCTTCCTCTTGAGTATCACTGAGCTCTTTGGCACAGAGTCAAACCTGCTATACCAGTATGGAATCAATCCTGCCACTGTGTGTGTGGGTGTGTCATCTCTCCACATGCATTAAGAGCGGTGTCCATTTCTGCCTCACTCACAGTTCACAAAGCCTCGGTTAGAAGACAAAACAGCATCTGAGCAAGGAGAGCCAAGCAGGATAACACAATGAGGAGTGTGTGTGGGGAAGACAGAGAGGGGGGGGGCTGGGGCTGTCAAGGGCAAGTGATGAGCCAAACTATTATCACACAAAGCTGATTTAGCAAATTTGTGCCAAACGCCGATGTTTGTGTGAGTGTCTGTGCATGTGTGTGTGTGTAGTAGATACTAGGCCTTGCATATTCCGTGACATATAAAACAAAATGTATACACAGTTTTGGTGATGCTGGTGCTAAATATTATCAAATATATTTCTTTTGACACCACCTGAGTCTGATGTCAATACCAAAATAAACTTTGTCGAGTATAACTACACTATAACTACACTACATGAAACAAACCTCGGTTTCTGAAATAATTCTAATTCCTTGACTGCATTAATGTTGAATAGTGTCTCATCAGAAACAGCAGTAACTTTTTGAAGCTGACTTCAGATGATAAGAATTTTGCTCTTTGCTCACCGCAAGGTAGGGCGCAGAGCGTAGCACAAATGGTTGCAGAGTCAATGTGCAGCGCAGGTGTATGTCATCAAAAACTGTGCAAGGAAGCTAAGCAAACTTTAGCATTGGATTTAGGTTCCATGCCTATTCAAAAACCTGACAGCCCCCTCTGACTCCTGACATTTTGCCATGCATTATTACTTTTCCCCTGGCGAGATTGAGATATGTTATAAATGTTGTGCTATAGAGTCCAGGGAACTTGGGAAGGATGTTTTCTTCCATCACTTTCGACCCACCCTGCTTGCACGTGTCACTTCTGGCTACGCCACATGCAACTGTTTTGTCAGTTGTGCTTTGAAAGGTCAGCGGCAACCAAGGTCAAAGTTTAAGTGCAACGCTTGGTGGCAATTTTGAGCAGCATGCCATGCCAAGGATAGCACTTCAGTCTAGCTGGGCGCCACTGCTCTCTCCATAAGAAAACAATGGCACAGCCAGTGCAGAGCACTTTTACCACTGATCATCCGTGGGCAGTTCAAAGTTTAAATCTGTAAATATCTGATTGAAACAGATAGAGTATTCATGACAAGTGTCTCGTTGATAGTTTTTGACTTTTCGCTTGCCATATCTATTGAAACTTACCTGACTCTGCCATCCTGTCTTAAAGTACATGATCAATTATTCATGCACTCAATACAGCTTAATATCAGTCTAAATCTTATGAGTCAGACATGCTTTTATATGTGTGTGGTACTATCAAAGGACAGTGCTGCATGAGCAACTCCTCACTGAGCAGATGTCCCAACTGTGTCCTCCAAGCAGCTCATGAAGCCGCAAGCCAATATTGACACACCAGTAACTGCAGGCAGATGCAGGCAGATAGTGTTACCTGCACTCACAAAGCTGCATTGGCTTCAGAAGATAACAACAGGACACAGAGTCTTGCCACAAAGGCAGAACTGTGGTGTGGTGTGTGACACAAGACTTTCGCAAGCGGTGGAAGAAATATTTCAAAATAGGATAATGTGTTTAGTGTACCTGCGGAGCTGACGTGTCACGTCAGCTACTGTGGACTCACAAGGCTTTGTTGTTTACAGCCACAAGAATGCAGGGAAGTCTTCACACAGAGACTTATTGAGTCACCCTACTGACACATGGAACTTCTTTTTGTTGCCCCAAATGCATTCTTCTCATTGTGTTTTACATCTGGCCTGCTTCTCAATCATTGACTTCACATAGAAAAAGGTGATGAAGGGTACTTGGGGATTATGTGATGGAAATTCTTGTTGCTTCACCTGAGTGCAATGAAGGGAAGGACCTTTGGTATAGCCAGCTCATGGACTTTAGTCTCAGCTGAACAATGTAAACCAGCTCCAGTTCAATTTAGACAACAGGACTGCATCTATGATCATTATCAATTAATCTAGCCATTATTTTCTAGATTTAGCATTTTGTCAACAAAATGTTAGAAAATGGTGAAAAATGCCCTGTGTAATTTCTCAGAGCCTGAAGTTACATCTTTGAATAGTATTATTTATTCAACCAAAAGTGCAGAAATCCAAAGCTTTTCGGTTTATTATTGTGTATGACCAAAAACCATCATATTCTCACAGACAGGAAGCATGAAACCAGCAAATGTTTGGCTGTTTTGCTTAACAAAATTACCTGAACGATTATTTGATTATCAAAATAGTTGGCGATTAATTTTCTGTCGATCAACTAATTGACTCATCGTTGCAGCTCCAGACCAACGTCAGCAAAGTGCTGTTGGTCATCATCTGTATTGTGTTTTTAATGACTGTGACACTGTCATCTTTCTGTCAAACCTAAACCAAAGGGTGAAACCTGGCATTCAATTCAAGTTAAGTCAGTTTATACTCAATTAATTTGCATTTTAGCTTCAAGAAATTAGAGTTATATCCACATTTTATGACTACATGTTCAGTAGTGCTGCAACTAACAATTATTTTCACTGTCGAATAATCTGTTGATTATTTTCCCAAGCATGTAAGATAACTATCTAGTGGCAGATGCAAAAACGACAAATGACCTTATCTCATGGATGTATAAAGACAACTGGATACATTGCTGGAGGTGAGACCCCGTTCATTCCTATGAAAGTTGCTCAGTGGCACATGAAGCCAAAAAAGCTCCAAGGTATGAAATCACCTGAATCTTCCGCACTTTGGGACCCACGGAGCAAGCACACTAGAGACTGACGCCGGCCAAGCACAGCCGAACACGGCTGAGCAGCAAACCTCAGCTAGCCAAGCAGCTGACTTCCAGTTAAGCCCTCCACTTACAGGAATGGCAATAAAATGATTTGATTGCATGAGTCTGCTAGGCTGTGGAAATGTTATTGGAACTAACGGATCAAATAATCTCAATAGTAAAATGAGTAATTTCTCAGGGGTTGTGCAAGTCTATGGGGAAAATTTCTTTTTAGGCCCTATCTAGAGCCAGTGATTGGTTTGTCCGTTCTAGGCTACCATAGAAACAACCTGGTGGACTCCACGGAAGGGGACCCCCTAAGTATGTAGATAAAAATGGCTCATTCTTAGGTAATGAAAACACAACTGTTCTTATTTTCAGGTGATTTTATACTAATGAAAACACTGTTTTGAGCATTATAGTCAATTACTGCCAATGTGTCCCCCTAAATCCTACACAGTGGATCTTTAAATATCAAATAATTGCTGAATAATTTAATAGTTGACATCTAGTTGATTAACTGATTGATCATTGCAGCTCTTATGTACAGTAAATCTGTGGTTCCCAACTGGTCCAGCCACAGGGTCCAGATTTCGCCAAAGTCATTATTTCAAGGTCCAAACAGTTGAATACATTCAGCGTCATACTTGCGTTCGGCTATTGAGCTAGGTTTCTGTCAGTTATTTACTCACTCTGCAGCAGGAAAGGGCTCGTCAAAATAGAAACTCTGTGCTGGAAATTCACTGTACTTCAAAGTCAAGTTTGATTTTAACAAACATGACATATTTCCAAGTCACTTGCGGTCCATTCAGAAAGGACATGCAATCCACTTTTGGACAGCGACCCACCAGTTGGGAACCACTACAGTAAATCATATTGATGTGTATTAGATGTAGGCTAACAATCAGCAGTTACACAGTGTATACAATTTGTGGGACTCACTCAAGCGCGTTTTTACAGACCCTCTTAGTGCTGCTTTTTTGTTAGTTTACCTTTAAACACCCAGGTTGAAGTTTTTAAGAGGTGAATTTGAGCACAGACAGAGAAATAGTGTAACATGTAAATATGATGTTTACTTGCTCACATGAACTATTAAGGGGTTTAACCACCCCAGTAAGGGACACTTGGGGCGTAGAGTTAAAGTGTTAGAAAGGGAAACTTGTCCTCTAATGAATGGAAACTTTTAAAAGGGCTAAAGTGCTTAAGTTAACTAAATGTTTTCCTGGTTTGTGCTAATGCTGCTGGTCGTTAGCATAATAGTGAACGCTACCCTTTAGCCCCATTTATATTTTCCATTAACGTTAGCTAGCTACATCACTGAAGCAGACCCTCTGTTGCCATAGGATACAACACTTCACTGCAGGAATGTATGGAGCTAACAAACGGGCTTTTCTGTGGTGTACCGAGTAAAGTTTCCCCAGTATCAGTAGAAAGGGAGACAAGTTCAGTTTTGTTACACTAACCGGACCTGCAAGCACTGAAACATGGCTTAACTTACGTAACTACAACTGTAACACGGCGACAGACAGAGGGAGTTATTCCGCGACAGCAGCTCCTCTCACAGTCCTTTTACTTTTACTACTGATGTCAACCAGCTTTGCTCTTCTATCATAAGACAAAACATCAGCTAAAGCCCACATTAAAGAGTCTTTACAACTCTGCAGGCAACAAAGTGCTGTTGTCCCAACTGTCAAACCATACCAAGTCTTTCTCCAGCCACAAAGAAGTTTAACCGCTTCTCAAGAAACTGTGACTTACCTCTTCCGCTGAGCTGGACACTGTCTTCTTGTTTGTCGCGAGTTTTTACCGGGTTTGCTTCTTAAACAGCGGCTTCACCGACTGTTCGGCTCCAGAAATCTTCAGCGGTGTTTAAGGAAGTGCTGAAGTCGGTTGCTGTTAACTCAGGCTGTCTCTGTCCTTCAGTGTGTCTGTCTGTCTCTCAACTGCTGCGGCTCTGTGGCAGCGCGCGAGCTGCAGAGGAGTGAATGCGTGACGTCAACCAGGTGAATTCCCAAAGATACACACACACAAACACACACAGAAGTGAGACTTTAGTTTGGAAGAGACACACAAAGTTAAACAAATAGAGCTGAGGATTATTCCAAAAGACTATGTATTCATTTGTGTATTATTATACTCCACATTCAGGCGTTGGCACTGGTGAGACTGGATTGACAACATTGGAAACCTGATATTTTACATTGGAAGTTGGCTCCTCTTAACCACTGTATCATGAATACGGGAGAGCGGGGCACAACCTAACACATCTCTGCTACAAATAAACAGTTTTTCCCCCTAGAACTTACCTTTCTTCAACAATTGCACTGAGAAGTGGTGGAAGTGATTTGTCACAATATACCCCATGGGCGGGCTTATTTGTAACAGGCAGGGTTAAGCAGGATTTATACTCATGTGGCAGACCCTACATTTACTATGCATGTCGCCTTGCCCTTCTGAGCATTTATACTTGAGCTGGTGTGCCTGGGTCACTCTGCAGTTGCACCTCCTAAACACTAGTCAGCGGCGGAGTTTCTATGAAGTGCTGTAAAATTTAGTTGATTCAAACACACCCAAAACACACATTAAATACACATTAAACATGGCTTGATAGAGACAATTTCAAACACAAGTACACAAGTCAGCTTTACTATAACTCGCAGCATTCATAGACAAAGCACTTGTCTTTATCTGGACACATTTTCCCCACAAATACAACATGCTAATGTTATAAGCACAAGCCTACGGAATTTTACATTATATAAATTTGCCTCGCAGCTAGCAGACTTTTCCTCTACTCATATGAAGCTAGGGACAATAGCAACATTTAACAAAGGTAATGGTACATAATTTGGCGCTGTTACAACTCACAGGGTTCACTGACAAAAAAATTGTCTTATACTACACGTTTTACAAACAAATATGTCATGCTTACGTTATTAGCACAAGCCTATGACATTTTACATTGCATAAATTAGCCTAGCGGCCACCGACCTTTTCCTCTTCTCAGGGACAACAGCAACATTTAACCAAAGTAACGGTACACTTCGACTCCATTACAACTCACAAGGCTCACTGACAAAACAACTGTCTTATACTAAACACGTTTTCCAAAAAATACAACATGCTAACGTTATTAGCACAAGCCTATGACATTTTACATTGCATAAATTAGCCTAGCCTAGCAAGATTTCCTCTACTCACATGAAGCAAGGATAAATCCCGAAGTATAAATCCCTGAAGGATAAATCACACACAAGACTTAAAATGCTATTTTTGTGGAGGCTTTTTTTGTCTTCATGATTTATTGTTTCTTATCTGTGAAATAAAAGTAAATGAAAGCTTCGGTTCCACTGAGGGAAATGGTTTCAGCTTACAAAAATAAAGAGGAGGTCTGCGTCACCGCAATGTGTAGCTACATTTCTGTAAAGGTGCACATCAGGCTACGGCGTAGGTTAAAGCGTGGGCTCCATGTCAACACAGAAACTAAGCCATAGCTACGGCGTCAATTCAACGCAGACCTATAAATTCCGCCTTAGTTGTAACACTTGCTGCAAAAGTCTGTTTAACACAGTTAATTCAATACTACCTCATTCTATTTATATACTATAGGTCTCCATCTACGTCAGGGGAAAGATAGGTATCCCTACAGGTATCCATCCATCTGTTAACCTATCATTGATATTCAATGATAGTTAGGTTGTGCCCTGTGCTCCCCTAATGCTGAATCTTCTAAGGACTCGGTTTGTCTCGTAAAACCTTGCCCTGAACTTGACATTGTTTCAGACATGAAATCAGTTTTTGAAACACAAATGTGACTCTGCAGCAGCTGAACATTGAGTGTTAATGTTCCCCAACATTTTTTAGTAAAAAAGAAAAGAACAGAAAAGAATAAGGCAAGAGAACCAGCAAACCAGGAAATCAATGCAATGTGTGGATACACAACTGGTCTGGTCTGTCTTTCTTTCCATGTGTCTCTGTTACACACACACACAGGTTGAGAGAGAATACAGTTTGTGGGCTGATCCAAACCGCCATGCATTTCCATACTGGCCCTGCCCACATCACCTCCACACAAGGCAAAGCACAGAGATCCATGTAGTGCTGAGTCATCAGCCCCCACCCACCAAAACTGTATGACTATAAGAAAGAATGGACCAGTAAATTTAGACTGCCTGTCTCAACTCCTAAAGAGCTATTTATAGCTCTGTGAAAAGGGTACAACAGGTGACGGGGTGTGAATGCTGATAGAGATTAGTAAGACTATGGAGTTACTCATCGCCTCATCACCACCACAAACATTCAGAGCATGGGACAACAAGTCAGCTGAAGGACAATAGATTTTACACAAACAATCTCCCACCCCTCAAAGAGCTTTGGCATCTGGGCACAATTGCCATCACTTTAAGATCACTCAAAACTATAATTTGTGGTTGTGACAAGGAGTAGTATGACATCCCCACTAACTCAAAAGATTCTAACAATTGCACCAACCACAAAAAAACCATAAAGCCCATGACAGGAAACGTGACTTTTTCCATTACTACCACTTCCTGGAAAACTGTCCCCGATGACCTCATGCTGTACCAGTAGTTGTAAATAATAATTCCATGCAATAAAACTATCACAGACTTTCGATCAGTGACCCCTGCCTGCCACTCCCATCAAATAAACCAGCCTCTGGCTTTCCCAACTGATATCCATTGGATTTGCACTGGAGTGACCCCTCCCTGTGCTCTGTCCCGCCCAGCGTTCTCGTTCAACAGGAACTATATGAGATTGGGGAAACAAGATTTTCTCCTCAACATGAGCAAGCAAGAAAGATTCTGTCCCTGTCATGACCCTTTGAAGGAAGAAGGGTGCATAGTTTTCTGGTATCACAAGTTAAGTGTCTCTCTGACACAAAATTACCCCTTTCAGCTTAAAGTGTAAATTAGAGGTAAGAGATCCAGGTTGAGTTAGTTCATTTTGAAAGAGAAAAACCTGACTGTTTTGCATCTCCTTAAGAACACCACTAACATGGCATGACACAGCATATTGTATTAAACTCCTGGCTTCATATTTTCTGTGTAAATTGGACTTGTATCCCGGCAAGGGACCCAGACGGTTCCTGTTGTGATGGCCATTTCTGCCATCCCAGCAGTGCCAGGGCAAACATCAGAGTGAGTAATGAGAGGAACAGACAGAGGGAGGGGGGAGGAGGGGAGGGGGAGGGAGGGATGAAAAAACAATCCCTAAAAAAGGAGAGAAATAGTCCTTTCATCAAGAGACATGCCACAGACTAAACTGTTTTTCTCTATCTGTCCTCATTTACAATTCCTTTTCTTTCTTTAGCTGTTTTCAATCCCTTGCCTTTCACAGCACTCTCTATACGCCTTTTTCAAGTTTCAACGCAGATAACAACATGTTTGTAGACAAAGAGAAGTTCAACTGGTTCTTCCCTCAAATGGCCTTGAGGTGAACCAGACCAGTATTTAGACAGATATAGGGTTGGCCTAGCTCAGACATGGTGACATAATGGTGGTAAAACATTTGGCAAGAGAGGGGGTGCTATCTCTAAAAGCAGCGTAATCTTGCTTTCCTCTTTTAGACACTGGCTAAGTGACGTTTCTCTCAAGTGGTGATAAAAAACATCAGAACATCTACAAGTGTTGATGCAGATAACACACAGAGCTGAAATATCAGCAGGGCTTTGATACATCCTGCTGTGTTGATTATTTTACGCTGTCAGTCACACTTATCCTCTGTTGTCTAACATGTCTTGTGAATAAGGAGCATTAAACAAGAACAAAGATCAGGCAGTAACATTTCCTCCTCAAGCAGCCCTCACCTCAGAGTTTGGTCAGGTGTGTCTACAGTATTGTATCGGATAATGATTTTGAGATGACAGCATGGAAAGTTACTAACCTACCTGCACTCGTTTCACAAAGGCCAGTGGTTCCCAGCCTTTTCTTAAGTGACCTGATTTCTATCATTGAGCAAACTGGACCCCTGACTGAGTGACATATCTTATGGATATTTGTGATTATATTCAATGTATAGCTATAACAGGACAGAACAACTGATTAACTGTGCAATTAACCCAAATAATTAACCAAATAGTGAATGCCATAAGGTGATCTAAAACAAGTGATTTGAATTCATTTTGAGCAGGTTATTTTCTGTGTATACTACATCAGAGATGAGTTTTCCTGATATTTTTCAGAAACCTTTAATACAATTATGAGTCTGTATTATTATTTCTTTTAAGTTATTATTTTAAAAAATCGTACATACTTAATAGACTTTTGGGGGGACAAATTTAGTGTTTTCTTCAGCCCAATGCTCAGCTGTTGTTTTATTTGGTCTTTGATTGTTTTAACTGCATACATTTCTAATGCAAGCGGAGGCTGTTTAGCAGAGTGAAGGCCTGTGAATTTAGTTTGTGTTCAGGTCCTCACCCTGCCCTTAACCAGTGAGACTTTTTAAAGATTATGTCTTGATAACAATGTGAACTTTTGAAATCTCAAAATAACAATGAAATTACTTAGTTACTTAGTTTTCTTTGCAGAAATGAATAAAATGCTGAGATATAGGCCTACTGTACATATAT